GTGGTCTCCAAAACAATCTTGCATAAATAATAATCCTCTATTGTGAATAAAACAGTTCCAAAAATATGTAACATATTAAAAAACAAATAATGTCTAAAATAATTATACTGCAATTTTTAAATTCCCAAAAAAACATACAGAAATCTGAAAAATCGTTTTCATGAATTTCCACCGGTTTCGAAGAAATCCAGCAGTTCCAATAAATTTCAGTAAGTTCAATGTGAAAAACACAATTCCAATAATTTTACATTTTTTATTAAATAAATAAATAACTAATTCATAAATGTGACAATAAGTCTGTCAAAATACATGATGAAATCGCATCGGAAGCAAATATTTCCAAAACTACACACAATGTAATTAACTAAAGTCCAAATAGTCCCAAAATAATTCCAACAAATTCCAGTAATTCTAGTGAATTTAAATTCTGAACAATTCTACGTCCTTTTAATGTATTCCGATTATTCTAGAATAATTGTCGAAATTTTTAAACATAACATTAATTTCTATGAAGCTCAAAATGCTCCTGCACTTTTGAATAAAACAACTCCAAAAATTAGTAGAATTTTAAAAGAACAAATAATGTTTAATTCTACTGCAATTTTTAGATTTTCAAAAAAACATACAGAAATTTAAAAAATCGTTTTGATGAATTTCCACTGGTTTTCAAAAAAATCCAGTATTTCCAATAAATATCAGCAGTTTCAATGTGAAAAAAAAACATACAGAAATTAAAAGACCGTTTCGATGAATTTCCAAAAGCTTTCAAAAACATCCAGCAATTCCAACTCAAATTCAGTAGTTTCAATGTGACCAAAGCAATTCCAAATATTTTACAAATTTTATTAAACGAACAATAAATATGCATATCACTGTGAAAATAATTCTGTCAAAATTCAGGATGAAATCACGTGAGAAACAATCAATTTCAAAAGTACACACAACATGATTAATAAAATTTCCAATATTTCCAAAATAATTCCAATAAATTCCGGTAATTTCAATAGATTCTGAATAATTCCACGTCCTCGTAATGAATACCAATTTTTCCAGATTAGTTGCAAAAATTTTAAAACAATATTAATTTCTGTGGCTTCCAAAATAATCTTGCATAAATAATAATCCTCTATTGTGAATAAAACAGTTCCAAAAATATGTATACATATTAAAAAAACAAATAGTGTATAAAATAATTCTACTGCAATTTTTAAATTCCCAAAAAAATATACAGAAATTTGAAAAATCGTTTTGATGAATTTTCACCGGTTTCGAAAAAATCCAGCAGTTCCAATAAATTTCAGTAGTTTCAATGTGAACATTTTTAATTTATTTCTATTAAATAAATAAATAACTAATACATAAATGTGACAGTAATTTGACTCTATCAAAATCTATGATGAAACCGCAACGAAAGCAAATATTTCCAAAACTACACACAATGTAATTAATTAAAGTCCAAATAGTTCTAAAATAATTCCAATAAATTCCAATAATTCTAGTGAATTATGAATAATTCTACATCCGTTTGAACAATTCCAATTATTCTAGAATATTTGTCGAAATTTTAAAACTTAACATTAATTTCTGTGACTCTCAAAATAATCCAGCAGTTGTGAATAAAACAGTTCCAAAAATACGTAGAATGTTAAAATAAAACGAATAATCTCTAAACCAATTCTACTGTAATTTTCACATTTTCAAAAAAAGATACAGAAATTTAAAAAATCGTTTTGATGAATTTTCACCTGTTTTCAAACAAAGCCAGCAGTTCCACTAAATTTCAGTAGTTTCAATAACATACACAAATTAAAAGATCGTTTCGATGAATTTTCAAACGCTTTCAAAGACATCCAGCACTTCCAACTAAAATTCAGTAGTTTCAATGTGACCAAAGCAATTCCAAATATTTTATCAATTTTATGAAATAGATAATACATCACTGTGAAAGTAATTCTGTCAAACTTCGAGACGCAATCACGTAAGACGCAACCAATTTCAAAAGTACACACAATATGATTTATTAAATTTCAAGTAATTCCAAAATAATTACAATAAATTCAGTAACTCAAATCAATTTCGAATAAGTCCACGTCCTCGTAATGAATTCCAATTATTTTAAAATAATTCTCTAAATTTTAAAACATAACATTAAATTCTAATGACTTAAGGTAATCCTGTATTAATTCTACTGTGAATATAACAGTCCCAAAACTAAGACAAATATTAAAACAAAAAGAAATAATTCCAAAAATAATTTTGCTGCAATTTTTAAGATCTCAAAAAAATAAGAAGTTAAAAAATATAATAATCGTTTCAAAATGTACAACAAATAATGTCTAAAATAATTCTAGTGGAATTTTTAACTTCCCAAGAAAAAACACAGAAATTAAAGGATCGTATCGATGGATTTCTAAAGGCTTTCGAAGAAAGCAATTCCAAATATTTTAGAAATTTTTTGAAATGTCAATGTGAACGTAATTCTGCCAAAATTTACTACGAAATCACTCAAGAAGCACCCACTTTCAAAAGTACATGCAATATCATTAATAAAATTTCAAATATTTCCAAAATTATTCCAACAAATTCCCGAAATTTTAAAAGAAAACATTAATTTCTGTGACACTCAAAATAATCCCGTCGTTGTGAATAAAACAGTTCCAAAAATATGCAGAATGTTAAAAAAACGAATAATGTCTAAACTAATTCTACTGCAATTTTTAGATTTTCAAAAGAACATACAGAAATTTGAAAAATCGTTTTGATGAATTTCAATGGTTTCAATGTGAGAAAAGTAATTCCAACTATTTCACAATTTTTATTAAATAAATATAAATTCGAGATGAAATCGCATCGGAAGCAAATACTTCCAAAACTGCAAACAAAGTAATTAATTAAAGTCCAACTATACAGTTTCAAAATTCCAACAAATTTCAGTAATTCTAGTGAATTCTAAATAATACTACGTCCTTTTAATGCATTCCGAGTATTCTAGAATATAACTGAATAGTCGGTATTTAAAACATAGCATTAATTTCTGTGACTATCGAAATAATTCTTTCGGTGAATCCTATTAAGAATAAAACTGTTCCAAAAATATGTCCACTGTTAAAAAAACAAATATAACTTAAATAATTCGACTGCCATTTTTAAATTCTCACAAATACATAGAAATTTCAGTATTTTCAATTGTAATAATAATAAATAAATATAACTAATTATTCTCCAAATAGTTGCAATTTAATTCCAACAAATTCCATTCATTTTGGTGAATTCCGAATAATACACGACTTCCTAATCTAAATTTTAAAACGTGTACAACATTAATTTCTGCGACTCAAAAAATAATTCCGTTTTGTTTTAAAGAACTCCAGTCATTCATAATAAACTTTAAAAAATGTAATCATCATTTGGACGAATTTCAAAAGATGTTCCACGTTAGAAAAGCAATCCCAAATATTTTATAAATGTCATTAGATAAATACATAGCTGTAGATGCAATCCTGCCAAAAATTCACAACGAAATCACGTTGAAAGCAACTACACACAAGATAATTAATTATACTCCGAAGAGTTTCAAAACAACTTCAACAAATTCCAGGCGTTCTAATGGATTCCTTAAAATGCTAAGTATTTTTTATTTTTAATTTCTGCGAATTTCGGAACTGAATTATTTTGCACTCAATCAAAATATCAAATTGTATTTAATTTTAATAACAGATATTGTACTTAAATACAGAAACTTCTCAAGTAACTTAATGTCGACAAAAAATTGCCATTTAACCACAATGTATGTAGTACTAGATTTAAAATAAAGTTAAAGTAAACATAACGTGTGTATAATAAAGTTTGCGTGTCATAAAAAAGTAAAATTTAATAAGCACAGAATATACACAAGTTGCGTTCTGGATTGCTATCAAATGTCAGTGAGTTTATATTAAACTGTACTGTGACGTATTAGAGTAAAACATTGTCTTATAACCCCTTACTTTTGTGGTTGCTTTAAAATATTTCATTTCTGTCCTTAAAGTGTTGTTGTCGAGTAGACTACAAACAAATTAATAAAACAATATCCACAATTTTGGGCTTTTAACATAATAACTATTTGTTACGTTACTGATACAAAACAAAACTCAAAGTTACAATTTACAATATTAATGAAGCATAATGAACGTGAACGTAATAACCGTGATTTATAAAACCCACTAGCTTTATCACGATAGACGTATAATGGGTTGCATAAACCCACAACGAAAACGTGTTCTCAAGTCATGTAACAATTTTAATTCCCGACTTTTCCCCGGGACCATTAGTATAAAATTTTAACATTTCATTTTAAATGCAATGACCACCCGACCGACTAAATGGTGTCGATTTCCCGACCGTTTTACGACCCTTTCCATATTCGATTTTCCCCGAAGTAAAAAGGAAAACTTGTAAGCAAATAGCCACCGAGAAAAACTAGATTGCTGTTAGTTTGTAACCGCTTTTATGATACCGGGTTACAGACGCAATAAACCGTATTTATGCCGCCGACGTTCCTCACATTCATAACCACGCGAAAGCAAAACGATCAGTTTCATTACAAATAAAAAAGCATTCTTTGGAAATACTCGAACTTCCTCCAATAAAGCATTTTCCCCCCCAAATCCGCCATTCATTGCAACTGCACCTATTATCTCCTCTCCGGAGATCGCGATTACATCATTCATCCTCTCAATTTTAATCCATTCCAGGATTACAAAATGAAATCATGCAATTCCATTCACAGGGCAATGACACAAAAATTCACATAAATCATCTAAGCGCCGATAAAAACGAGCGGCGATAAGATATTAAGACTAAAACGGATTAATTAACCCCTGATCTTGCGACCGAGCCATGGTCGGAGAAAAATTGATTGGACGCTAATTGAATGGAGGTAAAGCTGACCATGTTTTATTTTTACTCGATTAGGAATGTATCGATTGTCGACATTATCATTATTATTTTCTGGAACTAACCTGTTACGACTCCGGCCAGGGCGACCACCAGCAACAACCGCTCCATTTTCACGTGGAAGCAAGTCTTTAGCTCAAATCGCAGGCATTTATGTTAACACATAATCACAGTGTTTTCGATTAGATTACGCCGCACGCAACACGCACCAGACCACATTTTAGTTTTTCCGAAAACGCAGCCAGTTTGACGATTTTTCCAGGGGAGTCGAACCAACCGGCGTTTAATTAATCAAGTGTCGAAGAGTTAATTTAGTTCGCGCACTTTTTCTTCGATCGTGGCCGCGGTGGCTCACTTGCTCGCATGCAGGTGGGAAAAGCGCTTTAGCACACACATGGTACAGGCCTGTACTGGTGGGTTTTGTGGGCGAAGCGGCGTCCTGGTGCCTCTGACGCCGGCGGCGGACTGAACGCTGCACGATATCGGCGCGCACTCACACATACACACAACCACCCCCAAAACATCTTCATCCCCTCTACTGCAGCGCGCGGCTTACCTTTAACTCCACCACCAACTGCCAGGACGATGCCGGAACACAAAACTGCAACTCTAATAATAGCGAGACATAATCATCATAAAAACGAAGGAAAGCGGCGGCGGTGAGCTTTCCCGAGCGATGGGTTTAGGCGGGATTTGGGGGCGGCGGGGTGGGGGAGGACGTGTGTGAGTTGCTGGATTGTAAAGTTGGAGACATGTTTACTGAGTTATAAATAATGAGGGGATTTGGGGTGGAGGGGTTTAATCATAGTATTGTGGTTAATTATATAGATATGAGCAATTTTTAGTTCTATATAATTTTTATTAAAGTTGTTTGAGTAATTTTCATTCATCATTTCTTTTTAATACACAAAGTGGAATGAATATTTTAGGGTTAAAAGTATTGATGACTTCAATTTTTTTGGAAAGTGGATTTCGTTGACTAACAATCATAAAACTGACATATTTTTAAACCATCAAAAAGTATCCTTTAAATATGTACACCGACTTGAAGGACGCGTTATTAATGCTCATTGCTGCACCAGAGGTTGGCGATAATAATCACTGCCTTTTCAGCCGAATTTATCGCTCGAGACAAGAAAGAATAATTAGGAAATAAACTTTAAAAGTACACACACCGGTAATTTATTATTCTACGGCCCAGAAATTTAATTCTCTCTTGTTAAGGAGGAAATAGAAAATTGTTGCCAGTAAAATACAAAAAAAGAATTTTAAAATCTTCTTCATTCTTGTTATCATTATGCTGTAATTTTGTTAATTTCATTATCTTTTTTCTGTTACACATAAAAAAATATTTGTCGGCGAATCTAAAATTGTGACACATACAAAAATGCCAGGAGAAGGTCTTCCTAGGCAAGCGGATTTATTACTTTCATTGTGACGATCCTGTAAAAATTGCCGCAGGTTGAGTGGCACTTAATCGAAATTTTCGCGAACTTCAAACCCCTAATTAAAATTTATTTATTTATTAATATAATATTTTTTTTAAGTTGATCTCGAATTTCCGTCTATATCTGTCAGAGGCTGTTGACGATCTTATTCTACAAATAAATAATGAAATTAGTGGAGTGATTGTTGTAAAAGTTTTGTGTATTTTAAAAGTAAATGGCGAATAACCGAAAAATAATAAATTTGATGACGTTATCTCAAACTTATGCTAAGCAAATCTTATTTACATAAGGAGTGTTGAAGAAAAATCAATAATTGTGCTGCGTCTTCTCACCCGAACATTCTTTTTTATTCTAACTAGGTAGTAACGCTACGTACTGGATTCCACTACAAACATGATGCGGGTCGAAAGAAAGGCCAAATTGGTCCAGAAAAAATTATAGAAGTCCTAAGACGGGGGTCTTAAGATAAATCAAATTGGTCTGGAAAAAGCAATGGGATCCCAAGTTAGGTCAAATTCGTCGACAAAAATGATACAGGTTCTAAGACAAGTCCAACTGGTCAGGAAAAAGTGATGGGGATCCTAAGACAGGCCAAATTGATTGACAATAGTTATGGGGATCCTAAGACAGCTCAAATTGGTGGGGAAAAGTGATTAGGATCCTAAGACAGGCCATATTGATCGACAAAAAATTATGGCGATCCTAAGGTCAAATTGGTCTACAAACATTGATGGGGGTTTAAAGACAACTCAAATTGATCTACAAAAAATTATGGGGCTCCAAAGACAAGTCAAATTCGTCGGGAAAAAGTCATAGGGATCCTAGTTTAAGTCAAATTGGTGGGCAAAAAATGATGGGAGTTTTAAGGCAGCACAAATTGATGTACAAAAAATGATGGGGTTCTTAAAACAGCACAATTTCATCTACAAAAAATGATAGGGGTCCTAGGGAAGTCAAATTGGTCGATACCAAATTATGAGGGTCCTAAAACAGGTTAAATTGGTCGATACCAAATTATAAGGGTCCTAAAACAGGTCAAATTGGTCGATACCAAATTATGAGGGTCCTAAAACAGGTCAAATTGGCCGACAACAAATGATAGAGGTTTTAAGACTGCTCAAAATCATCTACAAAGAATTAGGGGAGTTTTAAAACAGCTCAACTTGGTCTAGAAAAAAATGATGAGTTTTCTAAGACACATTAAATTAGTCGGGCAAACGAGATGAGGATCCTAAGACAAGCCAAATTAGTTGTCAAGAAAAGAGGGGGGTTCTAAGACATGTCAAATTGGTTTACAAAAAATGATAGGGCTCCTAAGACGAGTCAAATTGGTCGGGAAAAAGTCATAGGGACCCTAGTTTAAGTCAAATTGATGGACAAAAAATGATGGGGGTCCTAAAATTGGTCAAATTGCTCGGAACAATATGATTGGGATCCTAAGACAAGCCAAATTGATCGACAAAAAATTATGGGGGTCTTAAAATAGGTCAAATTGGTTGACAAAAAACTGACAGGGGTCCTAAAATAGATCAAATTGGTGAGGACAAAGTCATTGGGATCCTGAGACAGGCCAAATTGATTGACAAAAAAATTTATCGAGGTCCCTAAAATGGTTCAAACTTCTCAACAAAAAATGATGAGGGTCCTAAGACAAGTCAAATTGATGTACAAAAAAATATGGGGCTCCTAAGACGAGTCAAATTTGTCGGGCAAAAGTCATATGGATCCTAGTTTAAGTCGAATTGATGGACAAAAAATGATGGGGATCCTAAAATAGGTCAAATTGGTCGGAAAAAAGTGCTTGGAATCCTAGGACAGGCCAAATTGATCGACAAAAAATTATGGGGATCCTAAGACATGTCAAATTGGTTTACAAAAAATGATAGGGCTCCTAAGACGAGTCAAATTGGTCGGGAAAAAGTCATAGGGACTCTAGTTTAAATCAAATTGATGGACAGAAAATGTTGGGGGTCCTAAAATCGGTCAAATTGCTCGGAACAATATGATTGGGATCCTAGGACAAGCCAAATTGATCGACAAAAAATTATGGGGGTCTTAAAATAGGTCAAATTGGTCGATAAAAAACTGACAGGGGTCCTAAAATAGATCAAATTGGTGAGGACAAAGTCATTGGGATCCTGAGACAGGCCAAATTGATTGACAAAAAAATGTATCGAGGTCCCTAAAATAGTTCAAACTTCTCAACAAAAAATGATGAGGGTCCTAAGACAAGTCATATTGATGTACAAAAAAATATGGGGCTCCTAAGACGAGTCAAATTTGTCGGGCAAAAGTCATATGGATCCTAGTTTAAGTCGAATTGATGGACAAAAAATGATAGGGATCCTAAAATAGGTCAAATTGGTCGGAAAAAAGTGATGGATATCCTAAAACAGGCCTAATTGGTTGACAAAAAATGAGGGGGGGGGGGTCCTAAAACAGGTCCAATTGATTGGAAAAAAGTGATTGGAATCCTAGGACAGGCCAAATTGATCGACAAAATATTATGGGAATCCTAAGACATGTCAAATTGTTCTACACAAAATGACAAGGCTCCTCAGATGAGTCAAATTGGTCGGGAAAAAGTCATAGGGATCCTAGTTTAAGTCAAATTGGTGGACACAAAATGATGGGGTTTTAAGGCAGCACAACTTGATCTACAAAAAATGATAGGGATTCTAGGAAAGTCAAATTGGTCGGTAATAAGTAATGGAGATCCTAAGACAGGCCAAATTGGTTGACAAAAAAAGAGGGGGGTTCTAAAACAGGTCAAATTGATCGGGAAAAAGTGATTGGGATCTTAGGACAGGCCATATTGATTGTCAAAAAATTATAGGTATCCTGAAATATGTCAAATTGGTCTACCAAAAATGGTGGGGCTCCTAAGACGAGTCAAATTGGTCCGCAAAATGTCATAGGGATCCTAGTTTAAGTCAAATTGATGGACAAAAAATGATGGCGGTCCTAAAATAGGTCAAATTGGTCGGAACAAAGTGATTGTGATCCTAAGACAGGCCAAATTGATCGACAAAAAATTATGGGAGTCCTAAAATAGATCAAATTGGTCGACAAAAAATAATGGGGGTCCTAAAATAGGTTAAATTGATCGACAAAAAAACGACAGGGGACCTAAAGCAGTTCAAACTGGTCGGGATCAAAGTGATTGGGATCCTAAGACAGGCCAAATGAAATTTTCGCGAACTTCAAACCCCTAATTAAAATTTATTTATTTATTTATTAATATAATATTTTTTTTAAGTTGATCTCGAATTTCCGTCTGTATCTGTCAGAGGCTGTTGACGATCTTATTCTACAAATAAATAATGAAATTAGTGGAGTGATTGTTGTAAAAGTTTTGTGTATTTTAAAAGTAAATGGCGAAATAATAACCGAAATTTGTTCATACAATAATAAATTCGATGACGTTATCTCAAACTTATGCTAAGCAAATCTTATTTACATAAGGAGTGCTGAAGAAAAATCAATAATTGTGCTGCGTCTTCTCACCCGAACATTCTTTTTTATTCTAACTAGGTAGTAACGCTACGTACTGGATTCCACTACAAACATGATACGGGTCGAAAGAAAGGCCAAATTGGTCCAGAAAAAATTATAGAAGTCCTAAGACGGGGGTCTTAAGATAAGTCAAATTGGTCTGGAAAAAGCAATGGGATCCCAAGTTAGGTCAAATTCGTCGACAAAAATGATACAGGGTCTAAGACAAGTCCAACTGGTCAGGAAAAAGTGATGGGGATCCTAAGGCAGGCCAAATTGATTGACAATAGTTATGGGGATCCTAAGACAGCTCAAATTGGTGGGCAAAAGTGATTAGGATCCTAAGACAGGCCATATTGATCGACAAAAAATTATGGCGATCCTAAGGTCAAATTGGTCTACAAACATTGATGGGGGTTTAAAGACAACTCAAATTGGTCTACAAAAAATTATGGGGCTCCAAAGACAAGTCAAATTGGTCGGGAAAAAGTCATAGGGATCCTA